TGTGTGTGTGTGTGCGCACATCAGGCTTGTTTTCCTTCTTGAAGCATTGGCTCGGGGCCAAAACAAACCAGTGCAGCTTCTTCCTGCATCTCAGGCCACTCCTGATCCCCGGCCCTGACAAATTACACCCAAAACTACACAAGCTTTCATAATAGCTGCCCACTTTTAGAACATAACTTGCACATTATGCAATTATATTCAAATATGTACAGCGCAGTGTCCAAACATTTATACACAGAGACTCCAGTGTGTCCACAATGTCTCATTTCTGAGCTAATTAAAACAAAAAACACAGCTAGCGCCTAACTGGACCCAGCGCAAGAGGGTGTGTGTGTGCGGACCGCGGCTTAGCGCTGAACAAAGCCCAGTAGCTGATGGGGTTAGACTCTAACCCCATCAGCTACTGGGCTTTGTTCAGAGAGCCTCTAACCGTTAGAGGCTCTCGCAGTTCCCTTTAACTGAGATAAGAAGGGCCAGTTCTCAAGGCTCCCGGCAAGGCTCGGGGCTTTAGTTTGGAGCTGGGCCCAGATAGCGTTAACCCCAGGGGGGGCCCAGAGCTTTCTCATGGGCCCCGGGGAGCTGGGGAGACTCTCAAGGCCGAGTCCAAAGACCAGCGGCACCTTTGGCCTAAATACTGAGCTGCGATTACCAGTCATTTGGGCCGAGTTGCACTTTTCTTCTCTCTGTTGTTCTTTGGATGTGTAACTGCCCTTGTTTCTCAAATAATAGAGTGTAGAAACGATGACAGGGACAGCTGCTGTTCAGATAATCATTTCCTCTCTCACTTTTTGACATTGGTTCTGTTGCACTGGACAGAATGCAGTGACAGGACAGCGGGGTCATGTTAGATTCTCACAGTGTGTGCTTTATTTCACCGATTCATGGTGGGGTTTCTTTTTTCTTTGTAATGACAGTTATTCTGGTTCCTGCTTGAGTCCTGCTCTCGCAACAGTTTCAAACAGAAGACTTGAAAAGACAAACTTTAGGGTGTGTAACACATAACAAAACCATCAGAGGAAACCCTGTTAACGTCATATATGCTCTGATCTGCTCTACAGTTACTGAAGACTTAAATTTCATGTTTTCTATCTGAGAGTTTCATGACAAAGGACATAAAAACAGCAAAAAAGAAAGATCTCAATGTCACTAAAATAATGTTATGAAACAACCTAAGAGACATAAATTTTAACAATGAGCTAAACAGATTAAGGTCACAGAAACATATTGGTATTGGTAAACCCACTATTCAAACTTGGCCCCCCTCAACTGAGAGCAGCGATGGTAGAACAAGGTAGACAGTGAATGGAGTGAGGGAGCTCGGTTATCAAGAACAAAGCAGTGAATAAGAGAAAATAAACAGTATTTTTGGACACACTGACGTGGGATGAGAGGCGATGACACGCAGCAAAGGGCCACAGTCTGCTGTGTGTATCTCACCCCTTCCTCGGTCAAACAGACACACAGTCCGCAGCTCTTTATACATTGATAGTCTTGCATAGACCTATCTCTACACACACTTAGTTTTGGTGCTGTGCCAGCGCTGGAGAGCAGAAGAGAGAGATGGAGACAGCGATCTGCTCACTACGTTTTTTATATAGTCCCGACCTCAGACCCTGCACGCTGCCAAAAGGTTGACATCCAGAAATGTTATGAAAATAAGAAACTCCAGGCAATGCGGGTAGGGTCTCTGCAGATACAGACGTCAGGTAGGAAAATCCTACTTAGTATGCCTTTAAACTAAACAAGATAAAATCTTGAGTCACTAGGGGGTGTATTTTTCCACTTCTGAAGATGCTTACCAGTCTTTGTGCTCATATATATATATATATCCCAGTCAGCTTTACCTCCTAATCAGCAGATCACTGTTCCCAGCTGAAGTCCTGTTACATAAGAAAGCTTGCATATGTGCTTTTGGGTGCATATACAGTATGTTTGTATGTGTACGAGTGTGTGTGTCAGTGAGTGTGCATGCAAGCATGTTTGGCGCCAAGGCAGACGTGTGTTATGGCTAGCAGGGGTAATGCCAGCACCAGTCGCACGATGGGCAGAGCTCCTTACTTCCTCTGCAATCTCTCCTCCATCATGGAGCAATCAGACCGGCCTGATAACGCTGTTATCTGCTGCTGCATCTCATGGATCTCCCTGTCCTCTCCTCCCCTCTCACCCACTGCTTTCCTACCCTCATTACCGCTACTCCGCCCCGTCATGCACTCATATGCCTTCTTCTTTCCTCCTGCTCTCCACTTATAGAATCAGTCATCCCTTCCTCTCCTCCTCACAAATATGTCCTCCCCACCTCCATCCCCCCTCCTTTTTCTTCCTCATCTCTTCTGTCCTCCTTCCCCCTATACTTTCCCTTCATCTGCGAGAGCGGGTCTGATAACTGTGCTAGAATTTCCAGGAATTTTGCTCGTTTTATTGTCGAATTTAAAGGGTCGGTCCACCCAAATTACAAGAACGGCTTATTGTCCAACGCAAGGTTTGCAGAGTAATAGGGACAGCGTTTTTCAAATGTAATTTTTGAATGCTTTGAGTTTCATTTACATTCATTGGCGTCATTATCTCCAAATCTTGGAACATGAAACTGAAACTATCTGCATAACTAGATGCCACTGGGGGTAAGCCAGTAAACATTTTTGTTTTTTTAGGTTTTGAGTTTCAACACAGAACTTTGTATATGTGAAAAATGTAATTATTACGCAAACTGCTTACAGCACAATTGACAGTTAAGTAATCGTGTTATTTTATCACTTAAACTCGCTTGTTTTTACAATCACAAAACTTTTTATAGAAGATGTTAATGTATATTGTATAGAGCTACTTTATATTGCCTAATCAGGAGAAATGAATTTATATAAATGACTTACTACATTTGAATTATATTAATACACTTTTCATTTGTAATTGTTACCAGGCTAGTATGATTTCTTATACAGTTTTTAATGTTTTTTCACACGTAATATTCTAATATGTATATTATTCTCAACTGTTAACTATAAAGCACTTTGAGCTGCATTTACTAAAGGTGCTATATAAATAAAGGAGTTACTGAGAGTGATTGATTCATTATCTAATTGATAACACAGAAATAGGAAGTAGCGGTCACCTTTGTTTGAGGAAGTGTTTGTTGTATCCATCAGCAAACAAAGCAAAGTGATTAATAAAAACACAATAAGTAGGGTAATAAGAATAGAGAATAAGATGGCAGTTGGCAGTGTAATGATTTACAGATAAGGCTAAGTTCTTGTATTAATCAAAACACTTCCCTGTTCCACTGGCAGCTTGTTATTATTACAATGGCTTGTTGAGCAGCCAATTATTGTCCAATGCCACAGAACCGGATTTTAAATGTCAGATCAGGTTAATAAAAAACATGGATTAAGTGATTCACCATGTTCAGTTTTTCTCCTTATTATATAATGACATAATCAAAAAAAAATGTAAAGGTGCATACAATGATGAAATATGGAATAGATCTGACTTTTAATTAACCATGAGGAACTTTAATGGAGCTCAGATGTCGAGGACAGACGGTGTCTCACTTCATGACCTTCTGTCCTGAAGGCACAGACTGTTTCATAACTCTGTTAAGGAAAAATAAGCCTATTTTTTTTTTTTTTTTTACCACTGACGCTGCTCCAGTTGTTTAATGTTGTTGTTCTCTGATCTCACTTCGAGACACAGACGCAGTGGAGGAATTCCAGAACAATAGGTCTGTTTCTTTGTTTAGCTTCCTCAACTTCTAATTTTAATTGAGACAAGAGGAAGGAGCGCAAAGAAAAGGTCCAACAAATACCTTCCTACTTTACTGGACAATTAGTCATACATACACACACACACACACGCACCACACCACACCACACGACACACCCCCAGCGCACACCACACGCGGGACAAAACTCTGTCAACGCTTGCTGGCAACTTCAGCGCTCTTCCATCCTTGCAGACCTGTCAAATGCCCAGCCTTCATATATTTCTCACTGTGTGCCACGGCGTACCCATGGTCCATATCGCAGCGAGTTTCATTGCGTGATGCGCAGGAACCGTGCACTAGCCACGCCACGCCTCAATGATGGAGGCCCTTGTTCGTCCAGCACGTGCAGCAGCCTGCCACCCGCTATCAGCCCACACCAGTGGATGTAACCTGAGAGCCGAAGGGAGTCAGAAACGAACGTCGTCTCCTTTGCGCGCTGCAGCGAGCCTGCATCGAC